TATCTAAGCTTTAGATTTTGTCAAAAAGCAATAGCCAATAATGACATAGTGCTTTGCAGTTAATAAAGCACTTACACATAACATCTTTTAATCATAAAATTGTGTCCAGTAGATAGTATTATATGGATGAGAGAGTGATTTGCTTAAACTGGGTATAATTATCTCCTCTTAACAGAGAAGCAGCCTCTCTCCCAGTGGGGTTAAGTGACTATCGCAAAATGGAACATTCATGAGGGAGCACTGCCAGACCTCCAGCAGTCATTGTATAACTTTCTATAAGATAAAGACTCTCAAACAAATACATAGCAAGCATGTGTCAAAGATTTATGTAACTCACGAGGGAACCAGAAGAATGATGAACTTGGTCTGAAGGACATGAGGAATTGATACAGAGTCCAATTGGAAAAAAGAATGCTATAAGAATACTGCAGATGGACACTAAACTGGATAATGCCGTACAAGGCAAGAAAACCTTAACTCTTGGGGTTACCTTTTCTACCAAACAGAAAACATCTGCAACTTAATGATCTTTCTTACGTTAACTTCAGAGGGATAAGTACAAATCAATAGTTCATAGTAAGTCAAAGTCCTCTTCCCCCATAGCAGGGGTCATCAAACTTTCTCTGTATGGAGCCAGATGGCAAATACTTTCGCCTCTCTAGGCATACGGTCTCTGGGTCTCTGTTGCATCCATCCAACTTTACTGTTAGGGTATGAAAGCTGCCACTGACAATACATAATGAATGAGCATGATTGCAGTCCCATAACTTTATTTGCAAAAAAAAAAGAACAAAATTTGACCCACAAGGTATAATAGAATATTTGGTGATCCTTAGGTGACCCAGCTAGAAAAATTCTTTATGGGCAACTTTGAGAAGACATACAATAATTTTTTTTTTTTTTGCCTTATTTTCAAGTTTAAGACAATTTTAAAAACAGTACCCAGGACTTCAAATGGTAAATCCCATGTCCATCCCTCACATCAAATAAGAGTTTTGGCATATCTCTGAGGTTCAATCTTTGGAGTTCAGATAAGAAACAAATAAGGCTCTATTAAAGCAAGGTTTATCAATATTTCAAGCTTTTGTTTGCTTTACTGGGGAAAATATTCTGTGAATCACACATCCACTTTCCATTGACTTGAGGAATTCTCATCAGAACCAAAGGGAATCCCTAATGTTGATGGGAAATCCCTGAGGACCATCGGAAATGCCTGATGCTAGCTAGCCACTTCCAAGTGAAGGAGCAGCATTCATCTAGAATGGCCATGTGAATGGAGTCACTGAAAGCAGCTGATTCAGCACTCAGGCTTCATATCAAAAACAGCAGAGAGATCTGCATTAAGCTGTTTCATTCAAATTATGTTTCTTGAAAGGTGATAAGTCAAACAATGTCCTTTTCAATACAGTGGAAATCACATGATCTCTAGAGAAAACACTCCTGTGTCCTGATTCCTGTTCACTTATAATCAGGTTGTGGGCTCAGTATACTACCCTACATTGAGCTCATGCAGTCCCATCTGTAATAGATGACTGCCAGAGTCAGACTTAGAAGCATACTCTTTTTTTAAAATTATTTTGCTCATTTCCTTTTTTTATTTAATTTTTACATACATGACAATAGTGGAATGTATTACACTCATTATTACCCATTTACAGCACAAGTTTTCGTAACTGTAAATGAAGTATACTCATGCCAAATTATAGAAGCATACTCTTTATAAGTTTTGCTTAATTTGAACATTTATACATAACAACTGTGGGCTAAATACTATGCAAAGACACTACAGTTTCAAAACTGAGCACAGCATTAAATTTTTAAAAATATGCTATTTATTCAGAAAAATGCTGATATAATAAGCACTAGGTGCTATATGTCATTTATTGATACATAAGTCATGTGTAAATACTCTAAAGGACAATCTAGGTAGAGTAGTGGCACAGTGAAAGTGATAAAAACTGTAACATTGTGCTGCTGTAACAGAATACCACAGATTGCATAATTTATAAACAACAGACATTTATTTCGTTCACAGTTCTGGAGACTGAGAAGTTCAAGTTTGAGGGGTCAGATGGAAGAGCAAGAGAAGGAGAGGAAGGGGCCCAAACATCCTTTTATCAGGGACCCATTTCCAAGATAAAGGCATTTAAATGCCCACTCATGAGGGCAGATCCCTCATGACCTGATCACCTCTTGAAGGTCCTTTTCAACACTTGCACTGGGGAATCAAGCTTCCAACTCATGAACTTTGGGGGACACATTCAAACCACAGCAATTACTCAGGTAAACAAGTTGAGTGTTGATGATTTCCAAAATGGCTAGTAGATGAGGTAGACCAGAAAGGCACAATGGCTTACACTTATAGCATTGTAAGTCTAAAAATCAGTTGGCAAATGTTACTGAGATAAGCAAGAGAGTCAAAAGAAAAGAGAAATAAGATATCAATGGTTTGTTATGAACAGCTATTGCCCAAGGGGATCTCTCTCAAAGGTCTCTCCAATGGACTCCTCTTAGAAGTTGCTCTGTAGGTTTAAATTATCTTTTCACTCCCCAATTCTGCTCTATTTTAGTCACATTTATTTGTGTCTGCTTGCAATCATGGCTTCCTTCTGCCAGCTGGTTTTCTAATTTTTCAGTTTCTAGAAACTTATAAACAGAGGAAAATCTGATAAAAATAACTTGATATGTGATGAGTCGATACATTAGAGGATTCCTATTGTTACTTAACAAAGATCATACTTCTTCAGTATTTCTCTAACGGAAACCAAGTGTATATGTAACATTTCCATGTCTCACTATGGTCTACATTTAGGTTCATATACTATTTTTAGGAATGAACATACAACACATTAGTTCTATTTTTAACAAAAATTATAAGTTATCCTAAAAATAAGAAAGACATTTAACATATTCTGACCCAAACTATGGTTTGTCACAAGTTTTTGGGTAGTTTAAGGAAGGAAAAAGAATTAAAAGAGTTGTGAAATGGAAGAAAAATGATGGGAAAACTTATCAAGTCAAAGTCTCCTTTGAAAACAATTTTTCAAGCAAAATGTACTTCTTCTTTAAATGCTGAGTGACCACCATAGAAACCACGTGTACATGATACTTAAATAGCTACCACAAAAATAGGAAAGCTGTCCTCTAAAACAAAAATGACACAATATTTTCACAGTAAAAGACAAAATGTTTTAGAAATTCCTAGCATGGTTCACTTAAAAACTAAATTCAGTGGCTCTGAATTACTTATATAATAACAGGTTGTGGTTTTATCTGTGAAGACCAAATATAATATTAGTACATAACCAACAATTACAGAGGACTATGCCAAAGGAAGATGGTTTTCTACATGCAAAATGACTAAGAAAGGTACACTAACATTACACAGCAATGAATGGGAGCCCACTATTTTTCTTTTTCATTTTTATCAGTAGTCAAGAAAAATGCTGGGAGTTACAGAATAAAACAAACATGTCATCATATTAAAGACAACACAAAATTTTTCAGGATAAAAAAAAAACTAGCTCCTTTTAAAGCTTAGAATGCTATTTGTTAAAAGGCCAATCAATATTCACTGGAAATGAAAAGTCAGGAAACTCATCTGAAAACACCATTACTGTATGACTTGAAAACATGTCTGCAATATCTTTTTTTTTTTTTTAGAATTTTTAATATTTATTTTTTAGTTTTTGGCGGACACAACATCTTTGTTTGTATGTGGTGCTGAGGATCGAACCCGGGCCGCACGCATGCCAGGCGAGCGCGCTACCGCTTGAGCCACATCCCAGCCCCCTGCAATATCTTTGATACCCCTCCCTTCAAATGATAGACAGACTCAGTGCCTTACTTCTAATGAAAAGAATGGGTAAGAAATGATACTGTATATCCCAAAGGATACAGCTTCTGCCTGGAAGTATAACACCTGCTCTCTGGGTGCTTGCCCTTAGAATCCTACAAATACTTTGTAAGGAAGGCCAGGGCATATGGAGAGTCCACCCATGGGTGTTTCACTCAGTAGGCCCTGCAAGATTCCCCGGCTGACACCTGTCAGTCATATGAGGGATAAGACTGCAGCACCTAGACTGAAGAGTCTTCTCACTTGGGCACCAGATACTATGGTGCAGAGATAAGCCAAGTTTGTCCTGTACTCTGAATTCCTCACCCACAGAAACTATCTGAAATAACAAATGATAATTGTTGTGTTTAGCCACCAAGTGTAAGGATAATGTGTTTTGTAGAAATAGATAAACCAATGTTATGTGGAATGCATTTGTATCAAATATAGAATTTTTTTTCAAACTGGAAAAATAACCCTTATACAAACCAATTATAGAATGTATTCTCCATTTAATAAATTTAGTCTTATTTACGTAATACAATTAAACTACATTAATTTGAACTTTTCTATTTTGAAATCTGATAATTCAAATTCTAAATTTTAGAATATTTTGGCTGAATATTATCATTAAACTATATCATTAAAATAGATCACCTGGAGAGTTCAGGTGATCTATATAAAATACAAGAATAATGAAGCTAATTAAGACAAAAAAATTGCTTTGAAGTACTTAAAAGTATAGCATTCTATACAGAAAGTACTCAACAGTCATTAAACACTAAATGAACATAAGATGCCTCAAGTTCTTCCCAATCACTTTTCTATATAAATTAGTTTACAATACCATTTGGCAAATTGATCAGTTTGGTTCAAGCAAATTATATGTATATATACACATTTTATATTTCCTAATAGAGTTCCCTGAAGGCATTCTTGTCTTGTTCATCTCTGCATCCCTAACAAACATAATAATGTTGTATGTCAAGTATTATAGTTGACCAATATTTACATAAATTAACAAACTGCATTTAAGTACTTGAAACTCACTTGACAGTCTTATAACTTGCTGTTTTTCTTAGTAATTTGTTCTGCTCTTCCTCATGATTAGCCACGTTAGTTGATGTTTTTATTATATATCCAAAGAGCACACTTTACCCATTTATTACCTCTAATGAATTTATTTATAGCAAAGATAAGGATACAAATATCTTCCATATATAATTGGTAAGATATTCCTTCATTTCTGGGACTGTAGCATATGCTATGCTACCCAGGCTGCAGACGTTGAAGTGAGAAGAATGGCGCCCCCTGGGCAGTGGGATGCAGCAGCCTGCTTATGTCCTCTGGCTCAGGGGCTAATTCACAAGATTTCCATTCTAAGAATCAACCTATAAATTAACATTATTTTCGAAAGATTGCTAAGACAGTTTGTTTTGCTTGAAATAGAAAAGATGGTTTAGTCAGAACAGACATCAACTTGACAGTGTCATAATGTCTAACTGAATACTAAACATTTCTCATTGAATAAAATTTTGAAATATTTATTTATAAAGTTAATAGCTATCTTGGAAATTAAGCAATTCACTAAATATTCTTTCACACACATTTACATTTAATTAGTGCTAAAAGTAAGATGTTCATAATTTCTCCAGTATCAATCTGAACATAAAACTAACTTAAAATAATAAGATGCAGGTTCCAGTACAAATTTCCTAGTTAGTCATATCATCCTGGACAAGCCATTTTAGATCTCTGCCTTCACCCACATCAAGCAGGGGTAATCATAGCCATAGCTTTTCTTAACCTGCCTTCTAAATAAGCAGACATAAGATTATGTAGTAACATTTTGCTTAAGTCGCTAATCACAAATAAGGTAAACTATGTAAGATTTTCATCATTCTCAGCTGTTTTCTAATATTTGACTAATATTTTTATAACCAATGTAAAAATCGCATGTTTAATACTACAAAATTCAGTAGTTATACAAGGTGAAGTAAAACGGTAAAGCTAGTCATAAGAATAAACCCATTCAACCATGTTCTCATTTAATTATGTTAAAAATTATAAAAATAGGTAAAATTTCACAAAAATATTTCTTCTTATGGTAGTTTTAGGAATTCTTGCCCACATCAATAGATTGTCTGGCATCAGCCACAGCCTCAGGTACTCGAACAGTCATATTGTCCATAGATTTGGTCAAACAGATTTGGCAGCCCAACCGTGATCTGTACAGAAAAGGGATAGGTATGTTTATTAAGTATATGTCAGTGCAGTTGTTTAGTATGTTTTTATGTTTTCTTACCCAACACAGGAAATTAAGTAACCTTCTAAATTTTCTTTCTTTTTGTTACTGGGAAGTGAATGCAGGAGTGCTTTCCCACTGAGCTACAACCTCAGTTCTTCTTCTTCTTCTTCTTCTTCTATTATTATTATTATTATTATTATTATTATTATTATTTTGAGAGAGGGTCTTACTAAGTTGCTGAGGATCTCTCTAAGTTGCCCAAGTTTCCCAGGCTGCCCTGAAACTTGTAATCCTCCAATCTCATCCTCCCAAATCACTGGGATTAAAGTTGTATAACATCACACGTGGCAACCTTTTAAATTTTCATTAGATCAAAACAGATAATAACCAGCCTCATCAATTAGAGGGTAACAGAACACAAATATGAAACACAAAAAATCCTGGTTTGCCAAAGCTTCATTTTAGCCTTTAGTTTTTATCACTTACTAATTAACTCTCCAGAACTATTATTATTATTTTGTTTTTTGGTGAAAGAGCAGCCAAACATTGAAATGGTACAATAGTGGACAAGAGAACATGAGGTTATTAGCAAACCTATTATTTGCTAATAACAAGAGGTTTTTAGCAAAGTCAGCAAACTGTTTATCAATTCCCAGATAATTAAAACCATACTGACTGTGGTGGGCCTTAAAGACTATTAGTTACTCCTGATGTTTACAAAAAGCTGTATGTTAGTGCTACTCTCTCAGAAACTACTAATGTAATAAGTGACACAGTTATGAAGCAGAGGAGATTACAGTAAAGTTAGTGAGAGAACAAATATGTTGTGGGGACACAGGCTGCACAAAGAGATCTGTCTTGTTCTAAAAGACAAAGCAGTGGTGCACTGTGGCCATTGCTCATTCTCCTACAACTTCTACCTCCTTAAAGATCTCTGGCTCTAATATCTACTCAGTGCAGACAGTGTCTCATACTTCTAGAGAAGGAGGCAGACAGCAAGGCATCCCATACTGTAAATCCCACAAAATCCTGACATTCATGTAAATCTGAAAGATACTTTATCTGTCACTCCTGCCCTGTTTCCCTGACAGTGAAAGTACACACAGGTTGTTAACCCTACTTCTAAGGTTGGTTTTCAATTCAGAGAAGTAGCTTGAAATAGCGAAAGTCCAAGGGCTCTGGGGCCCAACATAACTGAATTCAAATCAGAGCTCTGCCACCCACTAGTTGGCAGCCTTGTGCAAATCTACAATAACTAAATCTGCTTCTTACCTATAAAATGCTGAGAATACTGTCTAAGCCTGAAAAGTGGGAATAATATTCATTAAGTGCCTAGGCATTACAGTAAGTACTCAACATATAAGTTGGTATCAATTAGATATAATACTAACAACTACCATTTAATGAATGCCACCAGGAACCATTCTAAGAGTTTACTCATTAACTCCAAAGAACAACCTATGAGGTAGGTGCTATCATTATCTTCATCCTACATGTAAGAAATCTGAGGCCTCTATGTAAATTATCCATGGAAAGTGAAAGTAGGGAGTAATGACAATTGTCAAATGTATATTCACAGATAATTCCTTAATCTCTCTATCCATGTATTATTAATTTCACAAACATTTAAGAATTCCCTATTGTTAGGTACTGGAGACAATGACAAAATAAGACCTGGCTCCTGTACTATGTAAGAAAGGAAACAGGTAACCAGCAAGCAAGAACCCACAGGAGGTCTATCCACAAAAAGGGCTAATACACTGATAACAGACATTGTTAATGATGGTGGTATATTTACGTAGCACTTAACTTCAAACTAAGGATATAAACTCAAAGGCTGATTTTTCCCTATTTCTTTGTTTTGGAATGTATGGTACCCTAAAAATAGTTACATGTGGGTTACTAGCTTTGATTTTATTCCAGTATGCCAGAGAGCTGTGTAAATGCTGCATAAAACACATCATATTCATTCTTCACAAAATATCTCTACTAAAATTCCATGTTCTTAAGCATAACAGACATGAAACATTAAAATCTCTTCTTTGCTCTCTGTTATCTTATTCTAACACCTGGAAATCTTATTATTGCTTGTGGTTGGTTTACATTTAATATAGTCCTTTTTATATCTTTTTACAACCTGTACCTCTTCTAGATGTAACTTTTCCTATTCCCCTTATTTGCTTTTTCTTTTCACTTAGAATATTATGTATTACATGCACATACAAATTCTTTTCTGAATAAAAGGACAAGCAGTTAGCTATAGCTGAACCCTCTATAGCTGAAGGGAAGGGGAAGAAGAGGTACTGGGGACTGAATTCGAACAAGATATATTCTATTTTTTATAATTATGTCAAAATGAATTCTACTGTTAGGTATAATTAAAAAGAACCAATTTTTTAAAAAAAGACACAATTATCAGAATGAAACTAATACAGTCACTAGATGTATTCTGTTATTCTTTAGGGAAAAAAAGGAAAGGAAGTGTTGGTAAAGAATGTGGCCTGAAGAGAGATGAGAGGGACAGGTAGATGGCAGCCACACCTGCTGTGCTTTGGTGTCTAAAGAGATACTACGTCCCCAGTCTTTCTTTCAGGGTTATCAGTCTCACCTCTATTAAGAGGGAAATGTACTATGAAAGCAAAAAAAATAAAATGATTCAACATGTCTGAATAAACACAAATGACCTAAAAACTTTGTGTGCACTAAATGATAGTTTATGTTCAAGTGTTTAACAAAATTGTAGCTACAAATTCCACATGAAATTAATAAAATTATTATTACAATTGCTTGTAATTGTTTCAAAAATTATTTTTCATTCGAGTTACCAAATTACAGTTAAACAAAGCCCACCTTAATCAAATAACAATTATTTAATTATTTTCCCCTTGAATAAGTAAATCAATTTCTTATCTTTCCCCTTGAATAAGTAAATCAACTAGCAACCTTAACTTCAACCAAAACTAGATAATTAAAAATAATAATAATAAGGTATCACTCGATGTCACCTACTACTGTAAATATTACATTTAAGAATAACTCTACCTATTAATTAATAAGTTCTAATTAATATACATTTAGAAAAAGAGATAATCATCTTAACATAATTATATATTGTTATATAATTATATATTATATAATTATATAACTATATATTGTTTCTTATATATTGTTATATATTGTTTCTTCAAAATTTCTGCTCTCTCAAATAGGTAAAATTTTGTTCAATTATCAAATCTATCCTTCAAAAACACTATACAAAGCATTATGCTTAATTCCATCCTGCTAAACTGTGACAAATATTAATTCCTGCAGTAAAAAATAGACTAAAGAAGATATATTAGGATCTAAAACTTACAATTCTTCCAATTTTTTAAATTTTTTTACTTTTGTTAAGGGGAAAGTTTTGTATAAGTGTTAACTATGGGACAGTGAAAGAGAAATGCCACATATTTAGTACATAAAACTTGTGACTGTTCCCTAAGCTGGGAGAACTCAGATGTGATCTTCAATAAACAAAGTGACAGCATGTGGATCATCCCAAATTATGAGTACAAATGAAGAACTCTTCAGGCTTACCTGTCTGTGAGCCCATAAGCCAGATCAAGCATGTCATTCTCCTCATCAGTGATTGCTTCTAACTTCTCATATATGTGATCTTCAAAGATGAGGTGACAAGTAGAACAAGCCAAGGTTCCCTCACAAGCACCTGAAAAAGCAGCAATCACTGAACATACCCATCCTCGACATTATACAATCTAAACCTGGCTTCCAACATTTAAATATTTCTGAATTTTAGAATCAGTGTTATAATACTAAATTATTTTCAGAATAGTAATGAATTAGGGATTACCCTCCACCATCATCTCCCACCCCACATTTTGAAATCACTCATACAGTATTTCACAAAGGCTCTGGACAAGATGCTAAAAAGGAAAACATGAGACTATATAGATCCAGTACTAAAGAGCTTACAGTTTTGAGCTGGGACATGTATACATATAAAAATGTATACATATTAAAACATATACAGCAATAGTTTATATAACAGCACGTAAGCTATTTACTTTTCCTCGAGAGCACAACCCAATTTATAAAGAAAGCAGTCAAACCTGAAGCTAAATAAGGTTAAATGGTCTTCCTTCTCAGTCTCCCATCACAATCAGGACAGAATCAAATAAGTCATTTTAAGAGTAGGCTTGCTTTTAAATACATGTTAAGAACATTTCTTCCATTCCACATACAACAGAGAAACCAGGTGCTATGGCACATGCCTGTAATCTCAGTGACTCAGGAGGCCAAGGGAGGAAAATCCTAAATTCAAGGCTAGCCTCAGCAACTTAGCAAGACCCTCAGCAACTTGGTGAGAACCTGTCTCAAAATAAAAAATAAAAAGGACTGGGATGAGGGGGATCCAAGATGGTGGGCTAGAGGGAGGCTGCATTCTGTGTCATTCCAGGACCTGGGATTCAAGTAGTGGGAATATTGTTTCTGGGTGACTTATTAAAGAACCCCGAACAGCTGCTTCTATGCAGGAATAATGGCGACCATGCCTGTGCAGGTCTCCAGGCCTCAGAGTCAGTGCAGGACTCCCAGCCACTCACCCACACAGGACGTCCCTCCAGCAGCCATCAGGACCATCCGCATCAACACCCTCGCAGGAATCCCAGCTGCTGCTCCCATGCAGGACACCCCGCCAATGCCCACACAAAGAACCTCCAGCCACCACTCCAGCATGGACCCCCATCTACTAAAGCGGGGCTCCCCCATTACCTCCATCTTAGGGCACTGCAACCACTGCTACAGCCCCCTACAGATGGTAGCCTGCACCTGGGGACACTGCACAAGATCTAGAGACAGCCACCAGCCACAACACTGCATGCCACAGAGCTGCATCTTTGAACACATCGCCCAATGCCACTGCCTGGCCCCACCCGACCTGACACCCCATCTCTGAAAGCAGCCGCCTCCATCTTAGGACACCTTTGTCACCACCTTTAGTTGGGTAATCTGTTTTTGGCTCTCTCTATTGAGTTTTAGTTGGGCAATCTGTTTTTGGCTGGGGCTTAGAAGAAATATCAAGGTACCTATAGTCCCCAACTCCCTCCTCTCCCCTGCAGCAGCTAACCTGGAACAATGCTTGCAGCTACGCATAGCCAGTCCATAGCTTACAAAGCCTGGCCCTGAACTGCCCAATACAAAACACCTGTCGGCAGGTGCTTAGCCCCCAGTGCACAGCCCACAAGACCTCCAGAGGGATTTCTGACTGGGAAGTAGAAAGGGAGGGGGTGAGATACAGTTTAGAGACTAAATTAGAGACCAGGAATTGTGAGGTCTACAGGCGATATAAGGAGATAAGACCAGCGCTCACATCACACGGGTGGGCCCCAAAGGAGATCCTTTGGGTACAGTCTCCCATCGGGGAATGCAAGTGCTATATCCCACCTCCAGGAGCTCCATCTCCAAGACCAACCCTCCCACCCTAATAATCTTCACCATGCTGAGGGTGAAGATACCAGCAAACAACAGACAAACCCACCTATTTGGATGAGAAGCAAAGCAGGAAAGATACTGATCTCCAACAAAAACAATTCTTGTTATCTTTCTTCGAGATTTTTTTTTTCTCTTTTCTCTCTCTCTCTCTTCTTCTGCCTTAAAACATCCCCAACATTTGTGAAACCAAGTACTTTCCATGAACTAGGCTACTGAGGATTGAGATGTCTGAATAGTATATTACAGTTATGTTGTATATTCTTTTATCTCCTATTTTTACATATTTCATGTTTCTGAATATTTGGTTTTTTGTACTCTCTCTATTGTCTTCCCACTTATTTGTGTTTCCCCAAAATCACTTTCTCTCTCTTCTCCTGCTACTAACCAACTTCTTTAGATTCTTCTTTCACGTTTCCTAAGATCTAATAATTCTATATCCTCACTTCCTATCCCCTCAACATCTCATCCTACACCCCATCCCTGGTTCTCTCTTTATCCACAATCAGAAACTGTAGACCCTTTTGCAAACTAACTGTTAATAGTGTAGATAATAACTGAACTCACCATTGCTATATATTGTGACAAAACCATAAACGTCTTAATAACAGCTATTTGGTTTAAGGCTGTATATTGTTTGATTGGGATCTGTTAATATTGTTCTACCCCCTAAAGGTGAGGTATTGGAACCTGCAGGGACACTATAAGCCTATAGGGTAAAAGCTCTAATGCCTCAGATCCACAGTGCTAGAAGGGAAAACACACGAACAACATGAAAAAACAAGGGAAGAAAGTGTCCCAAACAAACCAAGAGATTACATTATTAGAATTCATGGTCAGAAAAACAGAAGAAATGACAGAGAAGGAGTGCAGAATGTACATAATTAAAATGTTCTGTGAATTAAAGGATGATATAAGAGAAAATATAGGCAGCTAAAGATCATTTCAATAAACAGCTACATAAGCAAACACAGAAAGCAAAAAATTACTCCAGTAGGGAGACAGAGATTCTGACAAAAAACCAAACAGAAATCCTTGAAATGAAAGAAACAGTAAACCAAATTAAAAACTCAATAGAGAAAGCCAAAAACAGATTACATTATTTGGAAGACAGAACATCAGTCAATAAAGACAAAATATAAACCTTAAAAAGAAAGTTGACCACACACTTAAAATGGTAAGAAACCATGAGCAGAACATTCAACAATTATGGGATAACATAAAAAGACCAAATTTAGGAGTTATTGGGATAGAAGAAGGCATAGGGGTTCCAAATCAAAGGAATGAACAATCTATTCAATGAAATAATATCAGAAAATTTTCCAAACATGAAGAATGAATTGGAATATCAAATACTAGAGTCTTACAGGACACCAAATGTACAAAGTCACAACAGGTCCACCCCAAGAGACATTAAAATGCCTAGCATACAGAATTTTAAAAGCCACAAGAGAAAGGAATCAGATAACATATAGGGAGGAAACCAATTAGGAAATCTTCGGATTTTTCAACTCAGACCCTGAAAGCTAGAAAATCCTGGAACAACATATACCAAGCTCTGAAAGAAAATGGATACCAACCAAGAATACTATATCCAGCAAAATTAAGCTTTAGATTTGATGATAAAATAAAAACTTTCCATAGTTAAAAGAATTTATTACTAGAAAGCCTTCACTACAGAATATCCTCAGCAAAATATTCCAAGAGGAGGTGTTGAAAAACAACAATGAAAATCAGCAAAGGGAGATAATACACCAAAGGAAAAACCAATCAAAGAAGAAACCAAGTCAAGTTAAATACCAAAAATTTTTAAAAAATGGCCAGGAATACAAATCATATCTCAATAATAACCCTGAATGTTTAATGCCCTAAACTCACCAATCAAAAGACATAGACTGGCAGACTGGATTTAATAAAAAGACCTAACAGTATGCTGCCTTCAAGAGACTCATCTCATAGGAAAATACATCCATAGACTGAGGGTGAAAGGTTAGAAAAAAACATAGCCCTCATAAAGTAGACTTCAAGCCAAAGTTAATTAAAAGGGATATATTTCATACTGCTTAAGGGAACCATCCACCAACAAGACTTAACAATTATAAATATATATATGACAAACAATGGAACATCTACATTCATCAAACAAACTCTTCTCAAGTTCAAGAGTCAAACAGACCACAATACAATAATTCTGGGTGACTTTAACAGAACTATTTCACCAATGGATAGATCTTTCAAATGAAAGCTAAACAAAGAAACTATAGAACTCAGTAATACAATTAATAACTTAGACTTAACAGATATATATGGAATATTTCATCCATCAACAAGTGAATATACTTTCTTCTCAGCAGCACATGGATTCTCTTTAAAATGGACCATATGCCACAAAGCAACTCTTAGCAAATACAAAAAAGTAGAGACACTACTCTGCATTCTATTAGATCATAATGAAATGAGATTAGAAATCAATGATAAAATAAAAACTAGAAGCTACTCAAATACCTGGAAACTAAATAATATGCTATTGAATGAACAATGGGTTACAAAAGACATCAAAGAGGAGATTAAAATATTCTAGAGGTAAATGAAAACACTGAAAAAACATCAAAATCTGGGACATGATGAAGGCAGTACTAAGAGAAAAGTTCATTGCATGGAGTTCATTCCTTAAAAGAAGAAAAAGTCAACAAATAAATGACTTAACATTACAACTCAAAGCCCTAGAAAAAGAAGAACAAATCAACACCAAAAGCAGCAGAAGAAATAATTAAAATCAGAGCTAAAATCAATAAAATTGAAACAACTGAAATAATTGACAAAACAAAAAGTTGGTTCTTTGAAGGAATAAATAAAATTGACAGACCCTTAGCTATGCTAATGAAGAGAAGGAGAGAGAAAACTCAAAATCAATAACATACGAGATGAAAAGGAAACATCACAACAGACACTATAGAAATACAGAAGATAATCAGAAATTATTTTGAAAATTTGTACTCTAGTAAAATAGAAAATCTCGAAGGGATCAACAGATTTCTATGGTCATATGATTTGCCCAAAATGAATCAGGATACAAGTTCAACAGATCAATTTCGAGCAATGAAATAGAAGACACCAACAGAAGCCTATCAACCAAGAAAAGCCCAAGACCAGATGGATATACAGCTGAGTTCTACAAGACTTTCAAAGAAGGACTAATATTAATACTCCTCAAATCAT